AGATGTTCAGATAGAGATTTAGACAACTCTTTGCACGAGCAATAAAAGACCAGCATCAAGAAAAGAACATTTCCTAAACTATACTACTCTTTCAGATTGCAGTTTCCCTTCAATGACCAATTTGTCCTATTATAAATAAGTCTTTGACCTATGAAATACAGTTTCAAAATTTCAAACTTAGGCTCAATGAGAGTGCAAAGAAGAATAGAAAAAATATACACATGTCAGAATTCAAATGTTTCCCCAAAACAAAGCCTGTGATCATGTCACAAAAATTTCAACCTCACTATATCATTCTGTGGTATTCACAGGTGCACTAATTTCTTAGAGGTAAGTGAATTAAGCACCCTAACAAAAAGTTTGAAAATTTATTGCCGAGTTTGATTTATGAATTTTAGCTATGATCAAATGAAAAACAAAGAAAGAACTGGACAACAAAGTTTCACCATACAATAAAATGTTTCATTTAAACAAAGCACAAACAAAAACACCAGATGGTATATGCACAACATGATCGACACTTGCACTCATTTCTCCTTCCAGTGCTGGGAGGAATCTGATTTAATTGAATGCCAGATTGAGAGAATTAACCAATACATGCAAACTCGATGAGGATCAACTCTCCCAGAATGAACAACCACCCACATCACTTGGTCACTCTCATTTTAAAAGAAACCTATACACCTTCATATGATTTATGTTGGAAGAAAAACCGTTAAGACAAGCCCAACTAATCTTATTTTGAATCATGCAACAAAGTAAAGCATTAATGAGAATGAAAGATGGATTAATGAAAGCTATGATGTATGACGTATGATACCCAAGCAGGTAAAGCATGACTCTTCCTTGGATAACTGGTGTGAAATTACATCAAATTAAGACTGATAATATATTTACCACATCATTTTATACGGGCTTAATACAGCTTTTGAAGCATGAAGATTAAATATATGATAAGGTATTGTGCTTCACCAGCTTAGATGTTATCCACTATTAAGCTTGATCTTTCAAACACAACTGATATAAACTACTTTTCTTAACCAAGACATTGTAACTCATCTGTCCCAATGAATTGGGGTATTAAGTGAAAGACCTTGTGATGTAGAAAACAAAGTGTAGTTGCGTTATATCAAGGGATGTTATATGTTATTTACTACTTCACTTATATAGAAAGTTTTGTTTAAAAAGATTGCTTATTTAGTTCCATGCTGTAATGGCGACAACATGTGATTCAGAAAGTCATTGAGATTGCCTTATTTTAATTGTTTTGTTCTCTATAGTAGATAATGTCTATTTTGCTTGAAAGGATATTGCCCTAATATAGAGAATCCTGCATGAAATGATTAGCATTATAATGTCCTTTGCTGATCGAGTTTGATGTTGTTATGAAAGATACAGTTGACCGATGCTGTGAGAGAACAAAGATAACGAGGTGACCCTATCGACTGGACAATGAAACCGAGTTTACCAGCTGAACCCAGGTGCACTCTCTTGGTTCAGTTCTTCTTGCTTTTCATTGTGACTAGTTTGTCAAAGATTCATTTTAAGGGGCCGAAAGCTAGCAAGCTATCACTGATCCAGTAGAGATGATCATCCATATGTCTTCACAGGTGCACACGCTGTTTTATTTGTTGTTGTGTATAAATAGAGACTGTTTTAACTATCCTTAAAATGTGCCCAATCTATTTGTTTTGCACACAAATTAAGACTCAGTTATCAACTACAGGAAAGATCTCACCATTTTTTAATATGAAATCTGCCATTATTTGCAGGTTTGCCTATCCGATACTTGTTGAGAGATCAGTTTTACCTGAAAGTACCACCAATAGATAGGTAGAAGAAATCTGAGCACCATGCCATCAGGATTTATTACAGAGTTTCAGAAACAATAATATGAAAACTAGTCTTTCCTTGAACTCTTAAATTATAGGAATTCTTTTAGTGAAATAATGGCACTAAATAATGGTTCTAACAACACAGATTTTTAATTGATATTTCTTGTGGCATAGTGCAGATAATATTTCGATTTGATCAACTTGAAATAGTCAAGAGCATATGAAATTATCAGTAGAAATAAAATTCACACCAGTAGCTTAGATATCATAATAAAATATCAACACGTGGTGTACCCAGTAATTTATTTTATTGTGATGGAAATATTTCAGTCATGTTCAGATTGAAATATTTTCAGTTTTACTGAATATTTTCTTAATGTTCAGTTATTACAAGAACCAGCATTAACGCATGCAAGTACAGGCTTTATGTGTACTAGAGAAGAATCGGAAAGTAATACCCATGTGGAGAAAACTTTGTAATTCATGTCAAAAGCTTATACACGATTTGTAAATATAAGTTCCTAAGGAAAGACAATGAAAACATTGTTGAAGACTAGCAGTCAGTTAGAATATGTGGGAACCGTATATATATTCTTAGTATACATTTCTGTGGGTAAGGTAGGGCATGAGTACACATTAAGCCCATAGACAGGTTGCTTAATATGTCTACCATAGAAATTAGGGGTGTATACCACGTGTTAAAACCCACTTTATCCTAAACACTCGGATGAACTTTCCACCAATGGAATTTTCCTAACCTTACATTGAAGTCTAGACTTTTGTATGGAGGATCGAATTCTGGAGGTTATGGCTGTCTTGTTCTTGAACTAGCCACCATATGTTTCATCCCTTTTTGCTGAGAGTTCCCGAAGTCTTTTCCCTTGCTTGATAGATTGTTAGGCACAATTGAAACCCATTGCAGAGAGACACCAGCTTCACTAAAACTGTCGACCAGGAAACCAAATGATGGTCAGCCTTTATGCTACCAAAGAGAGTCACAGCAAGAGCTCACGAAGAAACTGTCACCAGGAAGCTGCAGTTCTGTACCACTCTTTAATAAATTGTGTAAATACATGTATATATTGTTAATTGTGTTCTTTACTTATTTATTATATTTTTGCCATTTAGTTCAGTGTGTGTATGTAGATATTTTAAAAGAAAGTTCTGGTATACGTATATGTGTGTGTGTGTTAAGTTATTTAGATTATGATTTGCATTTTAATTGTGTAAGGGTTTCAAGTTTTTTCATTTTGTCATTTATTGTAAAATTGGTTAAGTGTGCTATCAAGTGTTTTGTATTTGACTAATTATGTTATGATTAACGTAATCGTTAGGTATTAGGGTATTTCTTCCAGTAAAGGGTTTTCATTTTGTTTAAGTTTCTACACAGTCTGTTGGACTACCCCGTTCTAAAAGGGTAGGTATTCAGTGTTAAAGTTGTTTTTTTATTGTATTTCATCGATGGTAAGTTATTTTTGGTATGCACATTATTATCTTCGTTGAATGATATTTTTGTCTTTTTAGTGTGTAATTGCTTACTGCTTTTCTATGTTAAAGGGTACTTCGCGTGTTTCTTTGTTAAAGGGTCTTATTTTGTTGCCTTCATCGATAAAGAATATTTTTGTGCTATGTATTTCAGTGATGAAGAGTTTTACTTTTTGTATTATTGTATTTTTGTATAAAGTAATTTTGAAATGCGAAAAGTTTCTTTTGTTCTTAGGTTTCATGTAGTGTTCCATTTCATATGTCGTAATAAAGATTTGTTTGACTATTGTTTTTCCCGTAGTAGGATAAATTCAAGTTTTAGAGCTTGTCTTTTATTATAACTATTATATCATGCGATTGTAAGTCATTGTTAAAGGACTTGGTTTGGTATTATTGTGATTAAGTGCAATTCATTGTTAAAGGATTGTGTTGTCCAAGTAAAGTTACGCGATCATGACGATGTCGCGAGAGTAAAGTTGATTGGTTTTAAGATAAATTTAATTGTTAACTATGGACAAGCCAGAAAGACAAAAGGGAGATAAAGTGTGATATGCAGGTATATCATATGTTTTCCACCTGTTCTAGTTATATAGACATTTTTAAACATTGGGTTATTTAGTTTTCAATGGCGAGACTGCATAGTCCAGAAAGTCGTTAAGATTATTTTGTTCTCTATAGTAAGTAGAAGCTAAGCCTATTTTGTACTAATGTATGCGAGTGTGATGAATACTTGAAGCTAAGTCTATTTTGTACTAATGTATGCGAGTGTGGTGAAAGGAGAAGAAAGCGTATTTCATACTTGTTTTTGACAGTGGTGAACATTTATTGAAAGCTAAGCCAATTTTGAAGGTACAGTTCATGTATTTTAGAAACAATTATGAAGTGCCCTACAACGTTCAGTATGTGTCTGACATCTTTATAACATCGAGTCAATAGTTTAATGGAAATAATTCTGCCAAAGAGTTTCCTTTCATAGATAACAAATACAACACATGGATTTAACGACATATTATTCGAATAAAGATTTATTGATATATAGTTTCCTCTTTATGTCTGATCTCAAATGTAGCATAAAAAATGTGCATTTTTTTGAAACTGTAGACCTGTTTCATCAGTAGATCTTATCTTCTAAAATGCATTAACTGACTCCACGAAAAATTCAGTGTACAAAACCCGATTAAAGAATTTTTCCTTTGCTTTATGGTTTGGGGTGGTTCATCAACTATGTGATTTCCGGCACACGTCATCTAATTCAATGGTTTGTGATGATAGTGGGCGTGTTGTGGATCGAAAAGACGTCAGTATGTCGGCACGGTAATGGTTATATCATATTATTTTATTTCTTATGGTTTGCTTTTATTTTGATTCATCTCCGGGTAATTGGAGCGAATCCATTTCATCTATCATACCGTAACTAGTGTGGTCATAATTCTTGCACCACCGTTCTTCGTATATCTGTTGGTCAGGTTAACAAAAGTCGTTTCATTAATCACTGAATAATACAAACAAATTTGAAATTACAGGATATTGAAATAGTAAAATTACAGGGAACTTTATAATACCTCTGAACCAAGCTCATTTAAAGAATTTTCAATCTGAACTTGGTACATCCTTACTATGAATTGCGTAAAAAAATAACAATAAAATTTTCACAAGTAATTGACGAAGTTATTTACTAACCATTTTGTTGTTTATTTCGTGGAAATGAATTTCACAGATTTTGTCCACAACATCTTCATTTGCAAACGTAACGAAACCAAAACCTACAGAAACAAAGTAAAAATATAATTTATGAAATTATAATTTACGGCAAGACTGTGGCGATAAATTCACTACTTACATATCTTTTCATGAAGTTTACATAATAAATATGGGTTTGTAAAAATATTTGTATTTCCAAATAGCGTAAGTCATCGCCAGTAGACCAAGTAGCTTTATATAAGTAGATTGCTAAACAATGAACATTCTAAGCAAATGTAACGAAACATATGTTCTTCCTCTATTATAGTTAATTTACGATTGCTACTGAAACTTTATAATTGCATTGTTAGAGTATTTTTTCTGTAAGCAAGTTTTTTTGTACATTACTTCACAGTTTTTTTTCTATTTGGATAAGTATATCATATTCCGGGAAGCTATGTCCACAATAATAACTCCAGTTACAGAAATGACAATAGTGTCTAAAGCCTCATGACAATTTCAATGACACAGCAGTAGTTAAGTCTGGTATTATTTCTGGCGTCAAATACAAATATATTATAAGTTAGAGCTGAAAAAAAAATCCAATGAAACAGTAAATTTATTAACCAAAACTGTTTCAATGTTATTAGTAGCTCTTCATTCAACAGTGGGCCAGTATTTCAAGATTTGCTAGAACAAGTCTCTCAAAATTACAACACAACTGATTATTTGAACCCACAATTTTGAGGTTTAAAATTGAACCTAGGTTTTAATTAAAGGCTATTTAACAATTTTAATAAGAAAATAGACCAGTTTTGTTATAAAAACGTTATTTTGTCATCATCAGGTCCCCAAAACCAAACTGACTTAATCCTCATCAGGATCATATAAAAATATTATCTGTATTATGATTAAAAAAACTAGTTTTTTGATAATCTAAGTAAGAAACATTAAATAAGAACCTAAAGTTTATGATAAGATCACTCTAAATTGCATATTTTTGTTTACACTATTCTTAATTAGTCCTTTACGGATCTTAAATCAGAGGAATGTGTAAAAATATCGTTTCAAATATATATTTTATCATTTACATGTCATTGCTTAGGAAGCTTTTTGTTTAGTACCAGAACCTGTCCACTGGGTTGTACCATGGTGGCAGCCAAAAGTCTATCTAAATGCTATTTTATATGCAATGCACAAAATTTAATATTAGGTGCTAAGTGCCGAAAATTGCCAAAACGATGGATCTATAGATCTTGTACTTGTGATAAAAATATTGAGTCTATTAGGCTATAGCCGTATTTTCCCCATTCCTCTCAATTAATTCATTCTTATGGATTTGAAATCACATCTGCGTAAAAAGAGCATATTTCTTTCAACATCTGAAATAAAAACAGACCACTTTCGTTGGGAATAAGGTTAGAAAAACACTATTTTTATTACTGTCATTTCACAATAAAAGACCGGTATTTTCCTCAACACGATTATGCAAACAAACTACTTATGTTATCATTTGCAGTGAGAAAAGTGTTCTTGTGATTACTGGGGGGAGAAAAAAAAACAGGCCACTTCTGTTACGAACATAATCGAAATCATAGTTTACAAAAACATACTTTTCTCCGTTATTTACAGGAAAGGTTTCATAAGAAAGACCATAAAAAATATTAATATCTCCGATTTCTTTCTTTGTAGATCTGTAACTATGCTTGTTTCGTTCGTAGAGAAACCAATTGCTTAGGAATACAATATTGTCGTGACCACCGCATTTATAGCATGCTATGTAGAAGTAGTACTTTTACAGTCGCAAATAGCTGGTACAAGCAAGCGAAAAAGATACAGTAAGGAAAGGATATCATTATGTGTAAGTGAATTGAGACAAAACTTTATATTTTTAAAGAAAGGTTTAGGTAGTGTGTTCAGCACAGAATCTGAAACGTCTCCAAAACTAACAGAAGACAGGAGCAGTCCATATGAAACTATTCAAGAAATCTCTTTCCCCAAAATAAAATCAACTTCAGATATTCTTATATGTGTCTTATTACGTATCTTAGACAACTAAATCTGTCACTTTAGACATACATTTGCAGACATGTTGAAATCTCTTAGAGTATTTTTTAAACCAGTGTGTATGAACAACGAAAGCAAGAAGGCTAAAGGTATTCGAGATCAGGTGTTAAAGATAAATACTCTACCAGATGGAACGCATTCTGAGGTGTTAAAGATAATTACCCTAATAATAATAATAAATACTCTACCAGATGGAACGCATTCTGAGGTGTTAAAGATAAATACCCTAATAATAATAATAAATACTCTACCAGATGGAACGCATTCTGAGGTGTTAAAGATAAATACCCTAATAATAATAATAATAAATACTCTACCAGATGGAACGCATTCTGAGGTGTTAAAGATAAATACCCTAATAATAATAATAAATACTCTACCAGATGGAACGCATTCTGAGGTGTTAAAAATAAATACCCTAATAATAATAATAAATACTCTACCAGATGGAACGCATTCTGAGGTGTTAAAGATAAATACCCTAACAATAATAATAAATACTCTATCAGATGAAACGCATTCATACTCAATAAAGTGTCACATAAGATAAAACGAGTGGTCATCTAATGAGCAGAAAATTGTTTGTTCCCCACCCCGTTCGCATGAAGAACAGTTTGATGAATACAGTTACGTTGGGAATGGTTCAGGGAAAAAGTTGGTCAGGTGGCATTGCGTAGAATACTTAGAAATTAAGATTCAATAACTAGTACAGTTGGCACAGTTCTATAATAATAAAAGAGTCTGTCTGTGTGTGTGACCACCATAGCTCCAAGAGGAAAGAACTTAGAGTTTTGAAACTTTGCAAGCATATTAAGAGGATCCTGAGAGTGTGCACCTCGTATTATGTTTTTCGAATTAACAAACAATTTGGCCAATACTTTGCCCAATAGAACTTAAGCCCCATAATTCTGCTTTCTGAAGGTCTAGAGAAAAGTATCATTATTTTCTAATTCTCACTTACTGAATGAACAATATATGGAGGTATTCTACCAAATACTGATTATCAACACAAACATGAGAAGAAAAATACAAATCTAAGAATTGAAAATAGGTTTAATTGAACTAAGTATAGGAAACGGCAACAAACAACGGAAAGAAAAATATGAATCAGAGAATTCGGAGAATGAAAAGAATTCAAATAAAAACACAGGAAGAGAAACGAATCTGAGAAGTTAAATTAAAACTATTTGCTTTTAAAAAGAGTTGAATTGACTTAAGTTCGGGAAATGGCAACATACAAGTCAATTAAAGAATTGGCGCATTGGGGTAACTGGAGAGGTAATTAAGATAAAAGAGACGATTGATTGGAACATTGAGGCCTCTGTGAATCATGAGGGGACCTTTGAATTCCGCAGCAAAACGTGGGTATTTTATGCTAGTTGTAAATATAGAGAGTAGTTCGTGAGTGATTTCAAAGACCGGCCAAAACACTACTGCTAATCAGTTATCCGATATTTATTGCTGTATTCACATATAAAAGTTCGTCCTAATAGATGGACAGATCAAAAATAGATGGATGGAAGGACAGACGAATGAAGGGATAAATGAACAGATAGGATATGATAGATAGCTAGATGAATGGACATATATACAGAAAAGTAGACAGATATATGGATGTTAATACAATAATTATTCAGTTACCCATTCATGCAATATCTGTGGGTAATAGAACATTCATGGTTTGATGTTTCTCTCTAACAATAACTACCAAAAGCTGCGTGTCTTGATATTTTGCACTATAAATTGTGTTTATTATATAATTACACCATGCACTATATATTCCCCACCGATGTTATAACACGACCTAATACCAATTTTGTGTTTCAACACAGTTGGCAGATAACTAATTAATTATGTAAGAAAAAAAGTATCATACTATTAGCTAAACGGCTCCAAGAAGTTCTGAAGGCCTAAATACGTAGTGCAGCAGGAAAAACAACAACATACTTTTGAGTGCACAGAACTATAATCCCTAAGAAGCCATATGCGCGTCATACATTGTAAGTGACAAAAACTACCAACACATTTTCATATTAATTGTTTCGGAAATTAATAAATGACGAAGAAGTATAAGACATTATTATCTACGTTGATAGATTCCTGTGACAGCTGGAATTCACATTGTTATCTACGTTGATAGATTCCTGTGACAGCTGGAATTCACATTGTTATCTATGTTGATAGATTCCCGTGACAGCTGGAATTCACATTGTTATCTATGTTGATAGATTCCCGTGACAGCTGGAATTCACATTGTTATCTATGTTGATAGATTCCCGTGACAGCTGGAATTCACATTGTTATCTATGTTGATAGATTCCCGTGACAGCTGGAATTCACATTGTTATCTATGTTGATAGATTCCCGTGACAGCTGGAATTCGAGTCCCATCTCGAGCGGAGTCCTATGTTCAATTAACTTTAAAATAACAAAACAAAAAGTAATTATATCTGATCAAAACATTTTACACGTACAAAACAAGGGAAGTTAGAATAATGGAGTCAGTCATATAAAGATGTGATATAAAAAGAGTCAAGTTATATAAAACAGTCAACTCTGTAAAGATGTAATACAAGCGTCGGTAAGTTAAACTAGAAAAAATAGCGAATAATTGGTTTCCTTTTTTATTGTAGCTGGAAAAGCAGCAACATTAACATAAAAATGGAGCCAAGTTTCCCTAGTTTCTTAACTCACCTACTTTTACATTACATAATTATTGGCTGTTGTTTTTTTATATTTCACTCCTTATATGCCTTAATCTTCATTCTAACTTGGCTGATTTTGTAATAAAGCATATGTGACAAGATAAAAACAAAAAAACAGTGTCATTAAATCATAATAAATTTTTATAACTTCTTTTCTTTCTTGTTCATGATTGATATACACTGCCACGTACATTTAATTAAACTTCGAGAAAGAACTCGCGTAAAATCCATCGTATAAGCAAAATGAACCAATAAATACAATTGATTCGATTCGCGTGTCTTTGAGTTGAAATGCTTTGTTTTTATAATGA